TGGAAGTGCCAGTACGGCCACAGAGTGTATGGTGCCTGGTGCCCACCTGCTCTGTTGGGGAAAGGCAGGCAGGACCAGGGGAGCCCCGTGCTCACACATCCAGGCCGGACTGGTCATGCTCCTGGCTGGCCATCTGAACCCCAGGGACTGCATTTTCCTGAAGAGCTTTTTGTGGCAACACCCATTTAAAGAGATCTAGCCCTCTTCTCCCCCTACCATATCGTTTTTTTAGCCCGGATCAGTTCCCTCATGGGCTTCAACACTTGGCTCTATAACCCATCATGCTGGTGCTGCAGAGGTGGCGGTGTGCTGAGATACAGCTGAAGGAAGGAACGGTTGGAGATGTAAGGGGGAAGCAATGACTCCACGAGCATCGGCATTGCTAGTGAGGACCTTGAATCAGGAGATTCAGACTTCGGTCCAGAGATCTACTGCACAGGCTATAGAAATAAAGCCACAGAGCAGGATCTTTTTCCCCTGAGGACCCCCATTGCCAAGTCCTTCCCCCACACCCCCTCAGGCGGCTCTGCTGCTGGGGACATCCCCCCGCAGAGCGAGGTGCTGGAGCTCATGCTCCAGCATGAGTCCAGCAGGTCACGGAGCCCCGCTCACAGCAAATCCAAAACACAAATAAGCATGGACCGAGACAGCCTGACCTCGCTGACATCTGTGTTTTCCCTCTTGATAGCACTAATGAAACAGCTCTTGAGCTGGCAAATACAAGAACACTTTGCTTGTTTTGGACAGTGTCCGATTTTCTCAGGATATGAATGTCCGAACTGCAAGAAAAGACACGCAGCCATGTTTGTTCCTGTCGATTCTGACCTAGGCTTTGTCCAGCTACTTCCATGGTCACATTTTCAGTGGCAAGCATAAATCCCATTGTTGATTCAGCAGTGCTACAGACCCATCACGAGCAGCAATAAGAAAAGTGGGTGCTCAGAGAGGACGTAGGTGTTCTTCCTCCACTCCACAAGCCATGCTGCTGGATATCCTCTGTCCTTTTACATTGTTGCCTCTGCCACAAAACAAAAAGGATAGCTAAACATTACAGCTTTCTGAAGGTACATGTGGCTCCTCCAGTGTCTCACCTAGCTATAAAACTGCTGACCCAGCAAGACGAACTAGATCTCATTATGAGAGGCACAGGGAGGAATACTAACAGCTGAGTTTACCCGACCCTTCCTCTTATCGAGTCTTGTTTAAAGTTGCTGATAACATCGACCAGTGGTATGGGCAGAAAGTTGCTATGTTGGATATCTGTTCGTGGGCTGTGTTGTCTCAGGAAAATTTCAGATAAAACAACTCAGCCATTCCTTCGAACCTGACTCAGGGAAACAAGCTTCGTTAGTGTAAAAGGAAAACCACATCCTCTTCCATTAAGATTTTCTAACACGGCCCCGCCCTGAAGCAGGGACTTCAGATGTGAGGCTGGTCCATCTACTACCCTCTGCTCCACACCTGTTGAGATTATAAGCCTTTAAATAAAAACACAGAGCACTGCCGTTCCTACATCTCCCTCAGCACGGGCAGGCAATGTCCCCAGAGCATGTGCCATCCTTGGATGGAGCAGAATTTTCCCGGGATTTGTTCCTCCCAGCTGTAGGATACTGTTGTGTTACTGGCATTTTTTAACCTGTTTTATACATTATTATAATTATTACATGGTGTTATATAAATAATATTGAGAGAGACTGTCCCTGGCATGTTCAGGGCTCCCAGTATTTGTGTTCAAGTGTAGGAGCTGGGTGTGTGCTAGTAGAGGGGATAGAGGGGTTAAAACAAAAATCAGGAGGTGTGGGAAAAAAATCAGTGGTAGAAATTTGAGGAGCAGAGGATAATAAACAGGATCCGAAAAGAGGGAAGGATGGGGCTTGGGAGGGAGAGGACTGTGCAGGAGTCGGTGGCAAAACAAGAGAGAGGATTTAAACCCGTCTCCCTGTGCTTTGCCAATTGACGAGGCACTGCAGTTCATCTCCCCACCCTGTGTCGGCTGAAGCAGTCCAGAGCCTCCTCCAGCGTATCAGCAGCGCTGTCACCCCGGGGCTGCTGTGCCGAGCAGAGAAAGAGCAGTGCACTGCCGGCACGGCACGTCTCCACTGCTGCCGAGGGCTGGGACGGGGCTGCGGGCTCCGGCCGGGGGGCGGCGGGGGAGCCTCTCCTGCAAACAACGCCCAGGCGCCGCTTTGAGCGCCGATTTTGCTCTCTCGGATGGGATGGCGAGCGCCGGGCCTGCAGGCTTTGTCTGAAGAAAGATTGCAGATGCTAGTGTGTGCTGGTAGCTCCTGGGCCCCATACGTCCGTCTTGTAAAATGCGCCGAGGATTTTCCCAGATAAAAAAAAGGCACATCACTTGGCAGACAGTTACATCTGCAAATACACGTGAATGAAAACATCCTGAGAGCGCTGCCCTTGAGGCAAAATGCCCAAAAGCTCAAAAACACAAACAGAAGGGAACGGAGAGTGCCACGATGGCGGCGTGTTCCTATCGCCCGCCTCCTCCCTGCCTGCAACCACTGTCCTGCCCCAGCCCCAAAGCCCCGCAGAGAGGCGAGCGCTGAGCCAGATGCCTTCAGCACAGAAACCGGGGGAGTGGGAAGGAGCAGAGCGATGGCTCTGCACGGCTTGGCCCTGCCGCCTGGCACTGCGCTGTGCCCTTTTAAAATTGTCATCCTGCTTTCCGGCAGGAACCTCAGGCCTTCTTCATCAAAGCATAAACAACGGAGCAAGGAGTGCTCATTGATTGCACATCTGTTTGTTTTAAGGCCCAAAGTTTATATAGTTTAAAACTTCCATGTACCGCTTTCACCGGTGCCTCTGCAGCCCGGTAACTTGTATGTGACAGGGAGAAATAAGCAGCAGAGCACTTTAGCATGATCTAACAGCAGAGTTATTTGATCTGGGGTTTGGTATGTACTGAAAATACCAGCGGTTAATGTACTGCGAACATGGCGCAGCAGCTCTTTGCCTCCCCGCTCACGCAGGAGTCAATGCTTCATAACACTGAAGAGGATGCTCTCCTTTGCAGCATCTGTCCTGCTGATCCAGTGACCAGCCTTGTTTTACACACTCATCCATCAAAGCGCAGCCATCAGTATACAGATATTTCTGGCCTTCATTTTAAAAAACCTTCATCGGAAAATAGAAAAAGTCTGCCTGGGAAGCTCAACTTTGATCTCTGTTTTTGACCATTAACCTGACTTTAAATTTCCATGTCTTTAAACATTTAGTTTAGCAACTGCTACAATTTTCTAATACAGTCCATAAATTTAAAGACTATTTCTGTTCTTGTCTGAAGTTTTAACATTTCCTCCACTTGGACTGAACATACTTTATCACATCCTCTAAACCCCAGGGACTCTCCAGTAAAGAGAGCGCAGTGGTGATGTGAAAAGTAGCGATATTTTCTCAGTTTCAGACCCCTTGCCTGCACCGGACTCTTACCCGGATCAGACACTTTTTTTTCTCTGCACTTAAAGCTCACCAGGGAAAGGAGGAAACAAAAAAAAAAGATAAAAAAGTGGGATAAATTCTGTATAAGAAGACAAATCACTCTTGTCAAATTTATTTGTCTCCATAACTGGAAGAAGTACTTTTTATAGGCTTTTTATTTTAGACACGGAAAATCATGATGTGTCTGTCCTCTATGCGCAATGCTCAACAGAAGATTGTGCCATTCACTGTATGCGTCATTTACTGTATGTGCCAGGTTTCTGTTCAATTTTAATTTACTGCTTCTGAGGGGTTTCAGCCTCTCCCTTTTGGGGATTATTCAAATCAAGCAGAGATTATTGTTGGCTCTTTCCATTTTAGGCAGCCACCATCACCATAGTTTTTTGAGTGGCTCCCATATTAAAATTCATAACAAGATTGAAGCTCGCAGAGAACTCAAGGTAGTATCTGGTACTTTTCCTCTTTCAAAATAACTACTTGGAGGAAAGGTTTTGTTTGGTTTCTTAGGCTTTGTACAGTTACTTATTTTAGGTTACTTTATTTAGTTTATGTTTTTGTTCCTTCTACTGAGCCAAAATTTTCCTTTTCTCAAATTCACTTGACTCCTCCTGGCTATCACACTAGTACCACCATAACCACTCCTCCTTCCTTGACATTTATATCTTCGAATGTTTTGTGAATTATCATCACATTCTCTTCTAGAGTTGTCATTCGACCAAATTATGCATCTGATTTGTTTAAACATTTTAAAGCATGGATTCACCAGGGAAAATTAAACACCCTTCTGAAGTCTTTCTGGACTCGAGGCACCTGTATGTGATACTCAACATCCTCTTTGGTTGGATACTTCCAATCTTTGGCTTGCTATCTGCCTCCTGGCAAAAGTGCGGTCAGTCCCTGCCACTCCTGGGCCACTGACCAGACAGAGAGATCCAGTGACAGCTTTCGTGACCCACCAAGTACATGGGGGGACAAGCCAGCTCAGTGCACAGCCCAGGATGATGGGCACGTTTCAGGTGCAAGAGCAGATGAGGATCAGAGGTTGTATGTATCTACGGCAGCAAGTGATACTGTGCCCAGCAGATAGAGAAGACCAGACATACAGCAATCGCAATTTGTGTGGCTCACTTCACCCTCAGCTGGGCACATTGCTGGACAGCTGGGGCAGAAGAGACTTAATCTTTCAGAGTATCTGCATGCAGGCAGCACCACGTGAGGAGTGAAGGTCACTACAGGACGCAGCCAAGGTAGGGACAGCGAATGCCAGAACCTCTGGCACCATGAGGGCCAGGATAAACCTGCCACAGAGCCAAACCAGGGTAATGCTGATGAGGACGTGCTCGCAGGAGGCAAATGATCAAGTCAGCGAGAGGAGACTTCCAACATCTTAGGGAGAAGATTGGTGAACAGTGGCTAAATATCAGTCTATGGACACAGCAGTGAGAACAGGAGTGCTGAGGAACCGCTGACATCCATAGCAGGGGGAGTGAACATGGGGTCTCCCAACGTGCCAGACCCCACTGCCCATACGTTGACAGATCCCAAAGATGAACCGCTATGGAAAGATTGAAGATGTCTGGAACATGGTGGCACCAGAGGACGTTGGATTTCTTCACCACAGCAGAAACAGCAATAGAGATGCAGACAACATCCAGGAGATAGATGATGCCCAAGATACAAGGTTGGACCATATTAACCTAAAAGATGCTCTGAAGGCTGGGTTGTTGTGAAAAAAGAAACACAGTCACAAAATACAGATTTAATTATTTTTCCTTATGTTTGGGATAGAATCGAGTGGTGGAAAAAACGCGTCAGTCAGTATACCTCTATCTACATCTGTCACACTGTTTTTTTGCCAATGAAAGTGGCCTGGAAGCAGTCTTCGAAATTCCAGCTTGTACCTTTACTAACACACCCCAGCAGTAACAAACATACTGAACTAAAAACCCCTGCAGGCTACTATCCTATCTATGACAGAAACCAGCAGAAGATTACTCCCAGAAAAGTTCAAGAGAATAATAGGGTAATTTGCCCACAAAAGAAGTTATTTCTAGTCATGGGCTTTCTGAGGTTGCTCTATGCCCTGAAGCTAGTGGGATTTTATCCCTCAAACATGAAAGAGAGAATAAATGTAACAACATCTAATTATCCTTTTTTTTCTCCCCTCTAATCCTATTTAAGACTTAAGCTGACTCTTGTTCTCAATGATGGTCTGTGAAACTCTCACAAATAACATTATTCTGTAGTAAATACATTTCCTGTACACACATAACATTATTCTGTAACAAACACATCTCCTGTTACCCATTTTGAGATGCATCACCTTTCAGGTTCACTGAGTCCTCATTCAGTATAGGAGCAAGCAGCACCCAACGGAGCACCTTTATCGTCTTCAGTATTTTCTGCTTTTCTATTAAGCTCCCTTTTCTGAATGTCTCCCTGTAAACTAAATAATCACAGGGGGCTTCAGCATAGCAGTCCCTCCCTCCATCCCTCCCTTCCTCCCTTTAATCATATCTGTCCTTCAATTCCCAACCTACCCCCTTTCTCCAGTATCCAGTTTTTGAAACGAGATCCCCCAGATATTTCAGGCAAAGCTGCCTCCTGACATTACATACTGGCACCATGCACATTTCTGGAGAAATCAGCTCTGCAGAGAGCACTTTATCATCAGGCCCTTTAAACAGAGGTTTAACTCTGGCTCTGACAAATGGCTCCCTGCGAGCAGAAGGAGTTGCAGAGTGTCGGCATCCAAGATGCTGAGCAGTCCTCAGTGCTAACAAACCGCCCACAGGCGCTTCTCTGTTTTACGTGGGCTCCATCAGGAGAGCCCTGGCCAGGAGCCCATCACTCTTGCTACGTTGCCAGCAGCTGGAAGAGTCTTTGGTGACTGCCGGGCAACTCTGCCACACAAGGATATCTTTCTTTGGGAGCAAATTAATCTGCTCAGTTTCAATGTTGTGCTGCAGCACGGGCACTTTTCCCCTAGTGGAAAGCAGCTCCACTTGAATTTCATTCCTACTTCCTTTGTTTGTGCCTCTTTTTTTTTCTGGGACGCTCATTCCTGGATTGGTTATTTTGTAGGAACATCAGGCCTGTCTGAGAGAGGCTGCTGCTGTGTTGCCCAGAGAGCATTAAGCACTTGTTCTTTTTTTCCTTTCATTTGACCCCTCTTTTCTTAGATATAAATCAGAATAATCTAATTTCCCTCCAGAGCTTTCCCCTCCACTGCTTTTAATATATATTTTAAATCACATTTTAAAATGTTTATTACCACAATTGTAAGTCTTGCTGTTAAGGCTGGAAGGCTGAATGTTATGTTAACAAGGCCTGCCCAAACTAGGGAGAGGTTTGGAAATGCCAGGCATGGTAGTTGGTTTGAGGTAAACAGATAAAGGTAAACTGAGGCAGAAGAGGAGCCTGCAGTCAGGTTTGTGAATATCAGTGCGCTCTGCCGTTGTGCCACTCAATTTCCCTGTGGACCATCTTCGTCAGGGCACTGCCAAATTCCTGCTCCAGGAACTATTTAATGCAGCTAAGCTATGTGAAGGTGACTGGCAAGATCAAAACGCCGAAGAAACACTTTCCCGGTGGATGGCGATTATTTTCCCTCTACTAATTTCTGCCTTTGTGGCCTGCTTGCTTTGAAGCCTGCAGGGTCATGGCAGTGTCCAGTTTTTACTGAGCCTCTCCGATGCTCTTGGACAGCACGCTCTCTGTCTAGCACCTCTTCCAGAGAGTGGGACCCCACGGTGCAACTCCCCCAAGCTCTGAAAATAGCTTTGAACTTTTCCAGCCTCTGCATGTGTTCCTTGGAGCTGCAGCCCTGCTGGATGAGTCAGCTCTTTCGGGATGACATCGCAGCTGAAATCAGACCCAGGCTTTGCAAAGAGAAGTCCAAAGATCCTCTTGTACTCACTTGCTCCGCGGGAAACATCTAAACAAAGTAAAGATGTGAGTGTCACACACTTCCTCTCCCCATGCTGATTACTCACCTCTCTGGGGAGCCCAGGGGTTGTGTGGGGATCAAATCTCCTCTTTCCAAATCCTCCAGCTGCACCTTCTCTAGCAATGAAAGAAAGCTGGAGAACATAACTCCTTCAGGAGCAGACTTCAGAGTCAGAACGGCAGCTGAGAAATAACACAGTCCTGATGAGGATGTGCTAAACCAGAGTGGGCTCCAGCACCTCTTTATTCACAGCAAGCCGCTGGAAGAGGAGGCTCCATCCAAAAGACTGGTCTGGCACCAGAAAACCCTTCCCAGCTTCCTCAACTATTTGATTGTCACAAGCTCTTGCTGCATGCCACATGCCTCTGCGGAAGGGATAAACTATAGCGACCACTGCAAATGCAACTGTAAAAACCATAAAATCACAAGGTCATAAAAACGGAGGCAGACCTCTTCTCTAGGTACTCACATGTTTCTATCACTGGGATATTACTGACACATAGTCTCCGTGTTTCAATTCGTCTTTTGTGATTCAGTCTGAACACTAAATAGCAGGATAACAAGACTGGCCTGCTAAACATAAAGGCCTTTTGGGAAAATTATTGGCTTTGCCGTCTTGCTTAAAAATAAAAGCCTAGCAAAAGGGTACTCTGTCTATACAGTAAGTTGCCTGAGATGTTTCCACAACACTTTCAAGTCCAACGTAATGAAACCTGTTGCCAGGTAAGTAAAATCAGTGTGGAAATATTTACTCTTGCCCCTTACTGGAACATAAGCGGCTTTGCACCGTTCTGAACACAGATGTAGAGATGGTTTCCTTGGCTCCTGAAGTGAGCAAAGAACTTTTGAGTTGCTGTCAGGAGGGTAGCTATGATTTCTTACTCCCGAAGGCTGGAAAAGCTCGCTCCTTACCCTGTAATGCTCTTATCCTTGTTTGGCTGATAGTTGTGTCTGTCTTCTTACACAGTTTTTTGATCCAATCGCTGTAATTTAGCTATCATTTCAGAGGTGGCAGAGACTGTAGAGTTCTCCTCTCTGTTCTCCAAAGCTCCTACTTTCTATTACAAGTCATTGCACTGCATCTGTAGATCCCAAACATTTTGTAGTGGAAGTCCAGAGTCACAAGACCTGGTAGATCAGAATTTTGCCCAAGATCACAGTGCGGCAGTGGAAGGGAGAAGCATCCAAAACATGTTTCCTAAGACCCTTTCTAATGCCTTATCCATTCAATATACAGAAGAATAGACCAATAGCCAAAGCTGTGATATAATGCGTGGTTAGAAAGGTAATATTTGTAACATCTGAAAAACATTTCCCCTCAAGATGTATGGGAAGGTCAGCGTCGGATTAGCGCTTTTGTGTGTCATTGCCCGTTGCCGCTGCACTGTGGGAACAGACCTGGGAGCCAGTGAAACAGTATTAGGGAGTCAGCCTAGGGAAACGGGCAGGAAATGGGGCTTGGGAACACATGACAAACTCTCCTACTATAGTTCTCCTCTGTGATTTTGGGGAAGCTGCATTCATTGCTGGTGAGTCACATGCAGCTGGACAATGTGAGCTTGGCTCCATCTATGGGAAGCAGTAAAATACTACAATAACTCCAGAAATGAGCTGGTGTCTGTTCCAGTCCTTTCAGACCAAAAGATGGCCAACCTTCAACTTTTCTCGTAAACCACAATGTATCTTTATCACTGCACTTTTGAACCAATGAGTTTCTAAACTGCGTTGTTTACTATGATAAACACTTTTCTACCCATGTGGATCACAACTTGGAAGCCACAGCCTTAAGTTAATAATTTATGTATTCTTTGATAGACGACACTGTAATTATTAAGCTTGAACTCTGATACTAATCCACACTCTTTTTACATGCACTTACCACTTCCCCAAACAATTTATCGGAAATTCTTGTGCTTGGTGTTTGCCAAAAGGACATACATTTTAAAAGATCTCAGTTGCTTTTGCTCTCCTTTTCCTATATGTTACTCTTTGAGCAGCTGAGCACGCAAAATCCTCTTTTCTTGAAAAGGACAGGTACGAAGGTAGATTGCTTGCCCAGCAAAGCTTACATTAATAGAAATATGTTGGTGTTTACCAAACTGAAACTGTTGACCCACTTCAAAACAGAAAATCCTTAGTAAGATAGGAAAACTGGTTGTCTCTAATGCTTTGAACACAGCCATTGACCTACCTCTGTAAGATGTTTACGTCCTCTCCCAACTCCTTTCTCAAGAGGCACTTGTACCATGGGGATTATAGGACAGCAACCAGCCGCTGATGTGCCGGACATGGAAAAGAAGACTGAAACCATGTAAAGAACACGATTCAATTAAAAAAGTACAAGCGACTGGCCTCTCTGAAGGCAGGGAATCAGGTCAGGCTCTTCCTCCGGTCATCTCTTATTCTTGCTTGTCAGGACTTGATTAAACAAGGCTGAGAACATACCATCTCCTCCTAGTTTTACAACACAACCCCAAACTCAACCGCTGCCTTTAAAGCTCCCACAGGGGCTCCTAACATAGCATGACTGTGGTACCACCCTGGGTGGTTACAGCAGCTACCTGCTCAGAGCTGGACCATGTGCAGAAGGATGTCTTCACACCACGCTCCATTAGGAGCCCAATCTTTAGCATCTACAGCCCACTATTCCTCCTGTGTATTCAAATACACATGCCTGAACTCCAGTACCCGCTTCTGCACCCTCCTATTCCTTTCCCTGCCCATCCCTGTCA